TCGGTAGATTTGACGAACCGGTTCTACCGAACTGGTGCGAACTGGCAGGAACCTACCTCTGGTGCTGATAAATAAACAAACAAATAAATAAATAAAGGTAAGCAATATGCTCCTTGCCATATTTGAGCATACCAGGTGCTTTGACATCACACACACACACAAAATACATATGCTTCTCTTTGGCTCACACACTTAAAAGCCACGCTCACAGACTTAGTAAGCAAGGCACAATTTAAAGTGCGCGTATGTTTTATGTAAGTCCTATTCATGCATGAAAAGCTGGGGCAGCTTTTCCATGAAGCCCGGATCCGCCCCACGTGAACAAAAGATAAAAAAAAAAATCTGAACATGCCTTTGTCATCAGGCAGATAAGAAACTCGACTGCTGAATAAACAGGACCAGAGATTACGCATCGAATTCAGCTCTTTCCCCAAAGCCCTTGTTTTCAAAAAGAGAAAATAAATCGACAGACGTGAGCTTTGCAGCATAGATTAAACAAACATTCTAGATTAATATAGTTCACCGAGGCAACGTCAAGCTACAGGGTTGGGTTGATTCTGTTTGAATAATTACAATTAGCCGCTCTTGTTTTTTTTTGTTATAACATCCTCTCTGTGCCATGTGTTCAAGTCACAGATGTCAACTTCCTTGTGAACACTTCTGTATATAAGGGATCACTTTCCATTCTATACCTGATTTTTATTTTTGAATTTAGAAACTTCTATATTAAAAGGGAAATGAGAGCGCTGGAAAAACCTTTGTGAGTAATCCATTTTCCATGAATGTTTCTGGGCCTCATCTATAGAATCCAGGAATTCCTACGTAGGAAATATAACGGGGTAGGAGGAGAAAGACGCTTTTTTTTTTCTATTTTCCTACTTAGGAAAAAAAAAATACAGTGGAACCGAACAGTAGAAAATATTTTGGGGAATCCTAACAGGTAAAACTGAACAATCTCATTTTCTTTTGCAAGCAAAAGGGGTGGTTTTTTTTTTTTTTTTTTTTGCCTAATCATATCCAATGCAGAAAACGCATAATGCAGTATGTGATTTCAATCCAAAAAGGAAGTGGATAAAACTTTGTCTTTGTGGAGAGGGAAGGTGAGATCAAAAGACACGCGTCATGACATTGCCATGTGATCTTGGGTGACTAATTCGACATCAGGACTCGGGAATTAAAAGGACAGAGTTTGAGCGATGGCATCAATGCAAGCACGGCGTTGTTTCTTCATCACTGTGGTTGTCTGAGAACGTCTATAGGCAAAGTTTAAAAAGTGCCAAAAAGGAAAAGGCCACAATTTCACCGGAGTTATTTGATGGTGTAGGAAGTTAGCACCTATCCCTCCCTCTTCTAGAAAAAATGAAATATTTTAGGAAATACTAAAAAGGCAGAACCTTATATTTCCCCGGATGAGAAAAGGAGAAACATGTTTTTTAAAGACAAAGCAGCTCACTGCAGATTCCTGCCCCCCCTCCACCTTTGTCAATGGGCCATTAAGGCCTGAGCCAGTCTATTCTACATAACAAAGGTAGGGTTAACCCTCCACCCATCTCACCACATGGCACATGGGAAGATTACATCAGCCAGCAAGGCAAACTAACTTGGGTCTCAGGACAGCCTACGAAGTTAGCTAAAACCCTCTGCTCCTGGGAGTCTGACAACCGAGAGTACGTTTCTTACACAGGGACAGGAACAGGAAGTAGGGCCCCGTAGGTCCGTTTTTCACCCTCTGGAGCCTTCAGGGAAGCTCCGGAGGCCTCCGGAGGGCGTCGGGGGGGGGGAGGCTGTTTTTGCCCTCCTCAGGCTCCTAGAAAGCCTCGATTGACCCTTGTGGAAAAAAACATATATAATCTCTAAATAGAAATAACCAACAGTGTAATGAGTGAATTGTGCAGTCTGTGTTATTGTTGTGTATGTGTTTAATATTTGCAACAATAGTGAATTGGTGTAGTTCAAACTAGAGGTAAGGATGGTAACTTTTTGAAGAAAAGGTTAATTTATCAATTTTAGTTAGAAAGTGGAAGATGACACAGATTTTCTTCAGTACTATTTTTCTTGTGGTGAATTGAACTATTAAAGATAGGTTTCTAATTAATAATGGTTTTTTTTGCCAGCTTCTATACTAGTTTAAGTTTTTGCATATGGCGGTTTAAATATAAGAGCCGAGGTGGCGCAGTGGTTAGGGTGCAGTACTGCAGGCCACTTCAGCTGACTGCTATCTGCAGTTCAGCGGTTCTAATCTCACCGGCTCAAGGTTGACTCAGCCTTCCATCCTTCCGAGGTGGGTGAAATGAGGACCTGGATTGTTGGGGGCGATATGCTGACTCTGTAAACCGCTTAGAGAGGGCTGAAAGCCCTATGAAGCGGTATATAAGTCTAACTGCTATTGCTATTGCTAATATTACATGTATTAAAATGATAAATTGATAGTACGCCATGGCATTCCCCACTTCACAAAGGATAATATTTAATATTTAATGGTTCAGGCAATGAGAATGCAAATGCATTAGTCACTCTCTACAGAAACTGCTTAACGATTAACCATTAAACTTGAGGTTCTATCACTTTAAAATTTGGCCAGACATTTTAATGATGCACATCTGGACTACCTGATAAAGTTCTGTCTGCTTTCTATTTCTGAAACTCCTGCGTACAGTATTAGTGTGCCTACAGTAGTGAATTGACCAGAAAAATAGAGATTTGTATGAAAAGTGAGCTTCAGGCGTGGGAACAGAATATTAAAGCACAAGAAAAAGAAGCAAGGCAAATTCCCAATAGAATCAATTGCCAATTTAACAGTAGGATTCGTACATTCCAGAGAAATGTACTGCACTGTGTACATGGAATTAGCAACAAAATCCGTGTTTTTGCCTAGCAGAGCTGTCAAAGACTACCAGATGGCAGCAAATGGATGTGACTGCAATGTACTGGTTGCAATTCAGATTTAGCTAGCTCCTTTTGCTCAGTTGCAAAATCCAATTCGTGGGATTTAAACATAATTCAGCATAACGGGCAACCCAAGGAGCCCTATCTGGTGTAAACTCCCATTCAATTAACCCTGGATCGGCTGTGCAAATGCAGACAATGATCTGGTGCGTGGGTGGTCCTTGTCAAATGCAGCTTTTTCCGAGTCCCTCTTGGAAGGCATCCTTTGCATCATTCAGATTTGGGTAAAGTAGCCCAGAAGTGTTTCTAAATTGCACGGTTTGTCTGCACAGTCCTTTAAAAAAAATATGTTAGCTTGCTATATAAAATTGCAGACGAATATGTTATTCTATATAGAAACGCGCCACCTTATTTCTTTCGAAAACAAGACACGTCAATTTCTTGAGAAGTTGGCCTCAAAAGACTTCGAATTACCGCAAAGAGTTTTTTACTCCGCTTCCCTTTATGGATGGGCAGAAGAAGAACCATGCACACTTAGAAGTGTTTCTCAACCTTGGCAACTTGAAGATGTCCGGACTTCAACTCCCAGAATCCCCCAGCCAGCGAATGCTGGCT